ATGTCTCCAGTCTCTGAATTCATCCCAATGTTTAGGACCTGATGGTATCCCAAACCTCCTTTTTAAAAAATGTGCCGATGTTTTATGTTATCCATTAATGAATATCTTCAACAGATCCTTCTCAACTAATGTCTTACCGAAAATGTGGAGAAAGATAAAGATAATCCCTATACCTAAGAAGGCTTCTGGTGATAAAAATGCGAAACTTAGACCCATAGCAATAACCTCACCTTTCCTCAAAATAATGGAAAGATAACTGATACAACCACTTCAACCTGTAATAAGAGAGCACTGTGATCCATATCAGTTTGCTTACAAATGCAAAAGAAGCACATTAGATGCCGTTGCTGTTCTGCATCACAATATAGTGTTCGGGTTGGAAAAGGGTAAGAAGTATGTTAGATGCGCTTTCCTGGACTTTACTTCTGCTTTTGATTCTATTCCAAGATACCTTTTACTTAACAAGCTGATCAGCGTCGACACTGGCAGCTGGATAACCAATTGGCTATGTTCCTACCTTTCTGGAAGAGAAAATTACACTGCATTTGGAGGAAAGTGTTCAACATCTCTACTGTCTACTGTAGGTGTGCCACAAGGAGCTGTTCTTTCACCTTTGCTCTTCTCTTTTTTCTGCATGATCTGCCATCTTCCAAAGAAGACACTTTTGTAAAATATGCGGACGACCTCACTGTATGTATGCCGATTTCTACCTCCTTACATTCCATAGAAATGAATGAGTTTTTATTTCGTATTGAAAGGTGGTCTGTTGGTAATGGCCTCTTACTCAATCCATCTAAATGTCAAGCTGTTAATTTTAGCTTGATTTATGGACAGAACCTACGCTCTATTTTGGGATCCCATAGTGCTTGTGCCATTGGAGACTCCTTAATAAACGCAGTGTCGAAGGTCAAATATCTTGGTGTCATTTTTTCCTCTGACCTTTCTTGGTCTTCTCATATTTTACTGTTATCGAAAAAAGTTTACCGTTTGACATACTACATAAAGAGGCTGCATGCTTTTGGGATTACTCGCCATTTACTGTTACAATTTGTAAATTCCTGTATATTGCCTATTACTCTAGATTGTTCTCCATTATTCTTTCCCGGGCTTTTTAGAAAAGACTTTACTGTTTTGCAATGTATATGGTGAATCTTTTGAAGTCAATATTAATATGCTTGTGGATAGACATCTTGAGTCTTGCAAACTCTTGGCAGGTGTTATCTCATCAGATACTAACCATCCGCTTCATTCATATCTTTCTCCTTGTATATCTTCTGGTAGAACAAGACGTAAACACATTAAAATCCATACACGCAAGCAAGTCTATAAAAGTTCTGTGATGCCTTACCTAGCAAAATTGCTTTGTGACGAAAAGGCTGTTAGTGTTGATCTAGTAAATAACCCGTATTCTTAAGCATGTATCAAATTCGATATTTTGTATAAAGTCAGTTTTTCTTAAAACTTTTTCATTACTTTAATGTTTTTTTTGTTTTTTTCGGGTTTTTTTTGGTAAAAATCTTGTTGAAATAACTCGTGCTGAGAATTTTATATTGTACCAGATTATAATATTGAATAAAGCCATTAATAATAATAATGATAATCTGAGAAGATTGTCAACGACATCCGGAGTTCATACGACGGACTACATTGCAATGCGGTGCATGGAGGACAACTCTTAGATGCATCCGAAGTGAAGACTGGTGTCACACAATAATGTCTATTCCCACCCTTTCTCTTTCTTCTTGTGGTCGACTGGATTGTGGAGATCCCCATATCTGAAAAGAAGTACGGAACAAAATGGGTAGCTTCAATGCAGCTGTGTAACACGTAGAATCAGCCGTCAGAAAAAAGCAGGACAGATCTAAAAGCACAGCACACAATGTTAATCGAGAACTTCACACCAAGAGAGAACGCGGAGTGGAAATCACGAGCCTCTTTATTTTCAAAATCAAAATGAGCAGCAAGAGAGTGTACAGAGGGAAAAGCTCACTGCACAAAGTAGTCTTATGAGTTATCCTGTAAGCTCACTGTACGTAGGACTTGCTCTTCTTACTCCGAAGAGTTTGTGCTTGGTCGCCTTGCAATAGAGCAAGGGCAGCATCCCCACAACTGAATAAAATATAGAAGTCGTGACAACTGTCAGACAACATCAAAGTCAAAATCTTCAACATGAACATCACGAAGATCCACTGCAACTATCTTCACTTCGGATGCATCTAAGAGTTGTCCTCCATGCACCGCATTGCAATGTAGTCCGTCGTATGAACTCCGGATGTCGTTGACAATCTTCTCAGCTACACCACAATGGACTATGCAACAGCACTAGTGATGACGTACTGAAACTCAGCATGATTATAAAAAACTTTGTCTTCTCTTAAATCCTGAGATTTTATCTGTTTATTTTTGTAATAAAGTGTTGGTACAAAAATACATTAAATATATTCGTCACAACTCATCATTCGATTTGTGTGAGTACTGGAGTACTGCCCGGCGCCGAAATCGAAGCATTTGGTTTAAGTTTCGAAATAACTACGATAATAATGCCTTCTGAGCGAACATTGCACTGGTAACACTGAAGCGCATTTTTGGCCAGTTTGTCGGAAAAACTTTCCATATAATCTTAAAAGTTTTATTCCTTCCCATATAGAGTACGGAAACATAGTTTTTTCTCCTTCACTCCAAAAAGATAAGGACACTCTGGAGCGTATCCAACTGCGAGCCACGAAATCAGTTCGGGGACTGAAATCGAAACCTTGTAAAGAGCGCCTCTAATCACCTAATCTTTACCCGTTAGAGTACAGGTGTCTTAGAAGTGACCTAATGGCTTACAGCATCCTTAAAACTTCTGGACATTCCCTTAAACATCTACTTAAGAGATGAGACTATTATTTTTGCCCTCATTTTTCTTGTCTTCCAAAACAGAAAATTTACGAGGACACTCCAAACAACTCACGAGCCCAAAACGAATTACTTGTCAGCTGACTACCGACCATAGCTAAATCCCGCACGGCTTACGGACGACAGTTGGCATACGATAGCCGTACTCGTCCGAAGCGACTGTTTTCGAACCTTAAAAGGCGGACGAAACGTAGTGATGGTATCCAACCGTTACTGTTAAGCGAAAATTCAGATTTATTGGCTGAATCTGATCTAGCGAAAGCGGAAACATTTGCTAACTATTTCAGTGAAGTCTACTCAGCAACATGGGTTTCGCAACAAGCATTCATGCTTGACTAACTTACTGATTACGAGAGAGGATTGGACAGTTGCCCTAGACAACGGCCTGTCTGTCGACGTGATAGTCATAGATTTTAGCAAAGCGTTTGACAAGGTTTCACACTTAGGACTTATGCAAAAGCTCTTGAGCTTTGGAATAACAGGTGCCATACAGGAATGAATAAGAAGCTTCTTATGTGACCGCAGACAGAGAGTAAGGGTCAATGGAACACTATACGAATGGAAACCGGTCAAAAGTGGTGTACCCCAAGACACCATCTTAGGCCCTTTACTTTTCCTTCTGTATATTAATGAACTACCTTTCTTACTTACGTCGTCGACGTTATTGTTTGCGGATGATGTTAAAATCTGGAGAACTGTTGAGGATGTAAAATCCCCAGAACTTACTTTGTAAATGGCTTAGTTTTGTAATTTTATTTTGGAAATTTGAATTTAACTGTTTTCGCGCCAAATGCGCTCTTTTTGCCTTCACGTCATATTTCCCACATGTAAACTATCTTAAACGCCGTTGGTCCATTGTTTCTTTGTGTGTGCTATTTATTAATGATGCTCAAGGACAATTTGTTGCTTTATAAATGCGCTTGACTTTTTCCCTTATTCGATTGCTTGTACTCGGCTGCTTACGGAATACATATGTTCCCCTACTTGCCTTGAACTTCTTCATCTAGTTAGCGGGGCCTGGGACAACAGATTAGAATAGCTTATCGTGTCATTATGTCATTGGCTTTCGTTCGTTACCGCGGAATCACTTTAGTTCAAGCATATCAGGAACAATAAGAAATGAGACTGATCGTTGTTATCTGCAAGCAGATTTAGACGAATTAGTTAGGTGGGCTCATGATTGGGGTCTGGAAGTTAATTCCAAAAAGAGCGTGTTCATGCACATCGGACACGATATTAGTTACCATTATACCATTAATGGTACATCTCTGCCACGCGTTCATGAGCACAAAGACTTAGGAGTAATTATAAGTTACGACTTAAAAACTACTACGCACTGCAATGCGGTTGCTTCCAAAGGATTTCGCACGCTATGGTCGCTTCGCAGAGAATTTAAATGCTTTGACGAGGAGATGTTTCGAATTTTATATCCCACCTATGAAAGGGCACACTTAGAATACTGTATCCAACCAGCTAGCCCATGTCTGATAAAGGATACTAAATCGCTTGGGCGTGTCCAGAGTGTGGGGAGAAAATTAGTAAAGGGTCTTTCTAAACTTCCTTACAATGAGCGTTTAAAACGTCTAAACCTTTTACCTTTATCTTATCGTAGGACACGAAGTGACATTATACTGGCATTTCGTATCTTTAATTATGATCTGGGTGTTAATAAGTCTTATCTTTTTGCTCCCTCCAGCACTAATAATCTCCGAGGTCATAGCAAGAAGGTTCTGAAACCGCGATCTAATAAACTAAATGTGGGGTCCCGTTTTTCTCATTGAGTGGTCAATGACTGGAACGCTTTACCAGAACAAGTAGTATCAGCACCATCAGTGAACATTTTCAAGAAGAAGCTGAACCTTCACTGGAAGGAAATCTGTCAGGATTAACACAGGTTCATCAACCTTTTATCCTTATTACTGAAGACTGAAGACTTTCCCATTGAATCATCAACGAGTGGAATTCATTACCTCAGAACGTAGTTGAGGCTCAACCCATCTACTTTTTCAAAAGAAAGTTGGATCGGCTGAGAGACCATCATTGCCAGGACTAACACAGGCCATCAAGCCTTCTGTCCCTACCAAACTGAAACTTAGTAAGTTTGAGGGATTTCAAGGTCATGGCGCTAATTCCACTACCTGGTGCTGTAACATCTGTTACTTTTTGAGGACTATATTGGTGGCTAACTCCTGTGGCCTGCGCCACCGTCATCACCGATGGTTGATATGTGTCTGACGGATTTTTCAGCTTCCAAAACCCGGAATGTAGTCCTTCTTAAGTCGGTTGTATCCGTTGGTGGGTTTCGTAGGAAGTGTTCCTGCAAGGAACCGGGTACTTGCCCTTCGACGAAACGGGATCTTATCAATTCCTTTTGTCCTGTGGCATCTAGACGAGGGAATGCCTGGGCGGCCATTTGTTACGGGGAGTTGAAATATTCTATCGGTCTCTCGCTTGCCTTCACGTCATAATTATGACGTGACAAAAATTGGATGGTCGACTGCTGAGAATTCACGGATTAAATCCCTCCATACGTGCTTTTGTTTATTACATCTTGGAATACATATTGATGGTGAGAGCTGTGAATGACAAACTACTGACTGCTGAAACACTGGATGTTGGATGTTTTTATTGAGTCACTTTTGTAACATATGCCTTTCTGTTGTCTGCCATGTTGCGACCGTTCACAACATACGTTTTAAATTTTTTCGAATGTCAAACGACGATAATAAAACTTGTATGCTAATGCGAAGACGTCGCTGTGATTGGGATTTTGGCGTTTATGTTTATTATGTTAACTATTATTGATAATGAAAATAAATTTTAAATGCTACGTCTATCACTATTCTCATTGGCGTGAATTTGCAAAATGTTTACCTCGTCTGAGACACTTAGACGAAGTGTCTGAAAATTTTATTTTTCATGTGCCAAAAACATGACTTAGTTGCAATTTCGCTTGAATAAACACCGGATGTTCTTAATCAATGTCATCCACATTGGCTCAGATTTTGCCTTTATTCTCCGTTTTGTTGTTTGCTTAAAATTTATTTGTAATTTTTAAGTACTGTGGTGTTCTAAAATGTTTATTACCAAAATTGTTTTAAATTAATACTTACAATGCTATTTCAAAGAGCTGATGCTGGCGTTCAACCAATGGAAAGCAATAATCAGTAGTTCAAACTTACTTCCTTTTAAAATAATGCTATCTCGCTTTATTTGATGCTGCGAATGTCCCCTTCATTAACTATATCGTAAACTGTAACAAGATCGTTCTTGTTAATAATCTACATGTTATTACACGCTGTAAATAAGTGACATAAAATGTAGTCGTCTTATACTATTGTTGAAGCCGAACTCGGAAATACTTCCTTTCGTCTCCGTCCCCATCAAAGTAACTTTTGTTGTATATTCCAGTTTTACTATCTAGGATAAAATCGATATTTTTGGCTGGTTATACACCGACCTAGTTTTCATTCCTGTCTAAAAAGTAAACAAACTGTAAACTAAATCAGTTTACTTGTAAGTTTATGTTGAGTATCTACTTGGTGAAGGAAGATTTGTACCTCTTCCGATTCCTCTGCTGTTAACAAAGGGGAACTGTAAGCTAGCTAATCCCTCACCAGGTTATTTTTTACCGATGATCTGTTATAGATGTTTTTTAATAACATCTGTATCATATTGGCTGACGATTGGGCAACGTTGACTGACAGTTTCGTCATGTTTACATTTATCCCTGACAATCTATAAGACTAAGGCTTTTCAAACTAAACTTGGTCATCCCAAATTGAACCATTACCAGGCGTTAGAGCACTGACAAATAGCGATGACTCTTCTTTAATCGAAACTATTTATACAACTTTGTAGAGATAAGACTTAACATTTGGAGAGGTTAAAGTTTCTAACAGCCTAACTTTGGGATGTTCCCAGCTTGCATTTCTGGGACATCCAAATTGATAAAATCATGTAGGTGATTCAGTGTTTGCTCCACCTCGTCGATGCAAAAAATGAACAGTAATAACTCACTCAGCATTTGGGTTTGTCTTTGTGCAACAGAACGGTGCTTTCATCATAATTTATTTTATCCAACTACACTGGTCAATAACAACGAAGTCTGATACACAACCAGGATCGTCTGTAGGGAAATGATTAATATATTTGTAACTGATCGAAAGAGTGCAAAACCACACATTTGACAGTGGATCAACTGTCATCCTAGTCCACGTGGTTTCTGAAAGCGATGTCTATTGAACTATCCGGATACATGTATGATTTTTTATTAACGAGCCACCTGGTGGTTACAAAAAGAATCTTTCATAACAGGGGCAATTATAATTGCCAACCTTCAAGTGTAGACTGAAGGAGATTTCTAAATTAGACGCTAGTATACTAGTGAAAAATTTATAAAAATGCATATTTAACGTACGGAAACTTATGCTGCAGGGTAAGTATGACTTAATGACTGACGATGCTGACAGCCATACACTCATGAAACCTCACTAATGGTTACCCAGATATGCTTATAGCTAACTACCGAGGACTTAAACATACCTATATCACTGAACGTTGTCAGATGCGTTATCATTGTTATGTATGTGATATTTTGTCTTCATTATAGTGTTGTAGTGTAAATTAAAATATAAAAAGATGGAGTTTGTTTGTTATTTAAGAGAATATAATTCATTCCGTACTTTTGAAGTATTTTCATGTATGCGCTTGTTTACTGTCTGTTATTTGAATTGACTCCTGTTGAAATAACTTTGAGCCCAGACTCTAAGTCATGGGCTCTATGTGACCTTATCATATAAAACTCGCAAACCGATCAAACGGCAAAGTGTTCCTCAAGTTCATCGGTCAATGTCATAGTTTGAAAAAAGCATTGACAAGTGGGACGTAGATTGAAATAACCAATTATAGCATAGATCGATAAGTAGGAATAAAAAGGTAACACTGAAATGGTTATGACCTCAGCGATGAAGAATTAGTGAATTTACATATATATTGGGTTAACAGGTTTCCTGTTAGGTTAGATTCTATTATTTTAAAGATACTACTCCTCACTCCTGCACCTACGTACATTACTCGAGTCAATTAACAGATTTATTCGACGGGTTCTTGATTTGTTCGATAAACTCTCCCTTAAAGTGCAACCTTGATTCATTTCGTTTCACTTCTTGAGTTTAGGCAATAACTTTGAACATATAACGCATGATTACTCTTTTCATTCAATGAGTATTGTGTCTCCCTACTATTGATGTAATTGTAACTCTTTTTAGGAATCAGTGCATCACTGTGAATCTATATTAAGTTGCTTCATATTAAACAGTGGGGTTTTAGATTCCATACTTTTTAAGCACCCAAAGTTCCAAGTTATTTACAGGGTTTAAATGTGTAAGTTGTCGAATAGGTTGGTCTGAAGTGACAAGGGAAACGTCTTTCTATTCAGTTTGTCTGGTAAGGGTAATAAATTCAAAAGTTTGGCACCGTTAAAAAACTTTCTAAAATTAAGATCGTGTAGGTCAGTCAGCCACTATGCGGACTAATGGACTAAGGTTTGAAGAGTACGAAATATATATATATATTCTTCTAGAGACAAAACCACAACTACAGCAGAGCTGCTACTTACATATATGCAAAATCAGCGTAACTCGGAGGTACTATATTTTGTTACAAAGCCATGACATGTTAGGAAGCGGTCATTTCTTTTGGATGCATACAAAATCCACTAACTGATAGATTAGCATATTCAGTCAGTCAGTTAACATATTACTGAACAACTAAGAAGTCACACTTTTATTTTGGCTATTTTCCGGGTTCTGAATTCAAACATTTTAATCTCTTTGTAAAATCCTTTGGCTGATGACGATTTCTGGTAGTATAAAGTACGTCTAAACTAAAAGATAAATGTTATCAAAGTTAGTACCAGGTCTGATAAACAAACAGTTCATCATGTTATTAGTAATTGTTAATCAATTACTATATTGACCACCAAACCTCCCCAAAGCCTTTGTTAATTTAAGTTCTAAAGCATATCCACCTTTAAGCATCACAGAGAGAGCATATTTGTTCCGATTTCCAAGATTTTGATACCTGATTTTAATTAATACTGAGAAGACATGTCCAAAGCATGGTGTCTTATCATCTTAAGTGAGCAATATATCTAATGTATATGGTGAAATATTGATAAGCTTGCGTATAGTTGTTTTTATGTTGAATTGCTTTTGATAGTAATATAATCATTCATTGACATTTGGTTTGACAGTGTTCTCTTTTAGTTAAATTTTCACTTGCTAAGGCCTTTCTGTTTGTTAAGTTGTATTGTACGAAAGTGACCATCTGTCGCGAATACTTTCTGAAGCTCTTATTCGTAAACTTTTTGGATCGATTAGATGTAGATATTGTAAAGCACTTCTGTTAACTTCGCTTCATTATCAAAGTGTAAATTTTTCAAAATTAACCCTGAGTTGTATAATTTCATGACGGTTTACTTGACATTTTTAGAAAATGAAAATCGACGACATAAAATTTGTTCTTTGTTGGACCATGATTGTTCGTCAATGTGTGATACAATGTGATGTTGCTTATATAACCTACTGTCCTTGCATGGGTATGTTTTGTGTAATGGTTTGTTGTATTTTAGTAGGTCGGCTCGGAAATCAGATTGAACAGTTCCTAGGTATGATCGCATTTGCAATTAAAATCAATCGTACTCTTGTTTTGCCTCCATGGAATATTATGTCATCTTTAAAGGCTGTAAGTTTTTACATTTATTTTAATATTCAGAATTTTGTGCCTTTTGGAAACCTGTTTAACATCACTACGCTCCTATCAGTTCATCAATTTATTTCACTGGAAAATTTTATGTTGAATAAAGCTCCTGTCATCTGGCCAGCAACTAAACGTACAGGTACTTTTTTCAAGCTAGTTTACATTTAAAAGCGTTATGCTTTCGACCTAGATCGGGTCCTTTATTTAATGATTGTAATGCTAAAAATGGGAATCCTTTCAAAGAATTTTGGGATAAATTTAATGTCAGTTTCACAAGCTCTAGTTTCTATTTTCCTCTAAGTACAGATGATCCAAAAGAGGAGTGGGATCAGTTGTAAGTTTTCCAAAGTATATCATAAATATTTCTGAAATATAGATTTCCTCCAGAAACTTACCCAGTTCTTGCATTCATTGGACCACCTTCGTCTTTCCCTGTTCGTCCTGAAAACCGTGTATTCCATCGTTATTTAGAGTGGAATAGTCATATTAATCTAGCCACTGAGGATTTTATAAATCGATGGTTAAATAAACCTGTAGTTGGAGTCCATTTACGGAATGGAGGGGATTTCGTGAGTCGTATTTTGATCTATAAGTTTTATTGTTTACTTGAAGAATTGAGAGTAAAAATTATGCTTAATGCCTGTATCCAACAGTAATAATTCTTTTTATCTTGGTGTATGCTCTTTTTGAGTTTCTTCAATACGAACAGTTTTTTTGGGAACTGACAACAGTCAATTATACTTAGGATATCAAACCTCGAATGCTAAGGCAGGAAGAAGATGGAATCGCAAGTAACTTGATATTGTGGTAGAACAAGCAACTCAAACAAAGTTTTTTCAGAAGTTGTTACTATAGTAGCAGGATATGATCTTCGAGCATATAGCAATTTAGAGAACTAAGAAAACATGACAACGAATCAGAGAAAAGTTCATGCGAAAAATCGAATTGATAAAAAGTATTCGAGCGGTTATCGTTCCAGAAGATATTTTAACCTTTCTAATAAAACCTGACTGTTTTTTTCAATCGCCTCGGCAACTTGTTTGCAATTTCTTAGTTACATTACACCTAGGTGTTTTGTATATATCTGTCTTAATATGAAAAAGGGAGGTAACGGCTCACTAGTGTAGAAAAGCTGATTTTTAATTTTATTGTTTTTATTAATATCCAATTTCTGAGAAGACTAAACAATCAAGTAAATGCATACTTTTTTTTACGTGTATACTTTAGTTAAATGCTTGCTCCCATTTAAAAAGTGGTTTACGTATCTTGTTCTCAAGCGCTCAGTGTCATGGTGATTTTAATGAACTACCTCCTTACAAAGTAACAGAAGATATGTGCATCCCCTCAAAAGAATTAGTTCTTCAAACAATTTCTTACGGTGTTCGTTTAATTAAAGCAAAAAGTATATATGTATCTACTGATAATGATCCTATGTTGTCATTAATTCGCCGTCACTTTAGTAATACAACTGTAAGTGAAGAGATTTCATTCATTTTAATCAACTTTTAAAAAGATTTGAAAGTGTTTTTAAATGTTGCAATTACTCAGGTGATTAAATTAATATATTTGTAATATCCCAATGAGTGCCCCCGAATGCCCTGGTACGGCCGAGAGTGGGGAGAGTCCGCTCTCCCTCTCCAAATGCTCTCACATGGCCAGCGAATATATAGCCTCTGCCAGGGAAGTCCTACTCACTACCTTCTCATGGCGGGGGTGTTGTTTACGAAAGTGAGAGGACGAAAAGCGAATGTCCGGCGCTTTAACCGAGTTGGTGGACACGGATAGTCCACCTAGGGGAGTTGGAAAACCCTGATTCCAAACCAATGGTGCACATGGGCTCCAGTATCCTGAGGGAACAAATGGCGTACGAATCAATTGTTGATCACCGGCTACCATGGGACTGCATCTCCTCACGATGCTCCACTGCCTTGTGGATCAGATCTTTCGGTCAAATGCTCAGGGTGTGGGCCCCTAAGAAAACCACCTGCTTCAGTTAGGGCACCTGGGCAGTATCTCAGCCTTCCCACAAATCAAATGAGATTTGTGAGGCGCATATTCATCTGGTGCTTTTTGTACCAATATTTATGTGTTTAAATAAATAAGTAAAATAAATAATCCCAATGAGTAGAAAAATTAGATAAATATATATTATAATTATTATTATATTAGGTAAATATTCACTTAGTCTGATACTATTTACAATTTCACATCATTTTATTACAAATTAAACTCTATCCTTTGTCATTATAAAGGTTACACATTTTTCATCATTAACAGTGCACACATACACACACAAATTTACATACATGTCGCTTATGAATCTCTTTGACCGAAATTAAATGACATGACATTGATTTATTGAAACCTGTTTTTTGATTGATCACCTAATATTCTTTGATTGTTCCGTTGTACTATTTAAACTTGGATTAATGTTAATTTGGTTATTTCTTCCCTGAAGAAGTGGCTTACACTGAGTCACGACACGTCAGAAAATCTAATTTATCTACTCATTGGGATATTACAAATATATTAGCCAATTTATAACAATCTACCCCATGCTCAATTTATTCCAAATGCTCAAATCAAAACTTGATAATGATACCTATTCAGGTGATTGTTTAATGTCCTTACATTTTCAAATTTACAAAATGTCAAAGTGCTCATATACAATAGGGTTTTATGAAGTTTTTTATTTAGTCTGGAGTATTTGTGGTGACAGGTATTTTTGTTATGCTCATTGATGGATGGTTTATTTGATTAATTTTTGTCCTTGTTGAGAACGTCATCTTTATCAATGTTCTTAATTAGTAGATGAGTATCTCTTTAAAAATAGTTATACTAAGATACTCTCGAAGGACCTCTAGTTACTTTCTTTTCTATATAAAGTATTTAAAAAATACAGCATGACTCCGTTCGGAATAAATTAGAAGCTATAGTGTCTAACATTTGACGATGAAAACTATTGAAATTCCATAGAGATACTCCAGGAACGCTAATGTAAAAATATTATGCAATTGATATTAAATAATTATTCGTTATAATTGATACTGATTGGTATACTAATTATTGTTTACGTTTGTTACTTTAACCGAATCTCCACTAGCAATAACGTAATGATTAATATTTGCAGGCTCTTCCATTATCTTTACCGTATCACCAAGTAGAAGCAAAGCGCCATGTCTGACTAGTCCTGAGAAACTAATTTGTACTTATACAACTTCCACTTCATACCAACTGATTGGATTTGTGTCATCTTCATAAATTAAGAAGTGTTGTATTTGGTGCATTTCATTTATTATGAAGATTTCATGTAGAATCGATAGGGTCACTTGGTTCTTATCACTGAATTTATGAAATTATCGAAGTTCGAGAGTGAAACACCCTCAAACTCTACATAAGAATCAGACACCGGTTAACTATTTACTCGGAATGACTATCAAATGAAACTGAACAGACGGCTTCTAAAGAACTAAAAGTGCTGATCGAAGCTGACCTCTTGGTGCACTATGATCGAAAAATTCTGTAAACATTTGCAGCTGCATACGAAGTGGGTGCTGTCATATTTTCCCGAACTAAGCTGTGGAACAGTGATGCATACGTCCAAAACATAGATAACGGCGGGAAGACTCTATGGTCAAGTAAAGAAGAAACATCATCGATCGCTTTTGCGGCAATCCATTTCCACAGTAAACATTTCAGATTACCGACTGACCATAGGCTTCTTTTAGAAGTCCTTAGTTTCAAATCGGGAATATCCGCAAATTCGGTAAATCAACTGCAACAGTGAACGATAAAGTTATTGGGATTTGATCTTTACATTTAGTACTAACAGATAGTAGTTTTGGTCAGGGGGTCTGTCTAGAGGTGCAAACTTTGTAGAATTCCCCCAAATGCTCTGGTACGGCCGAGAGTGGGGAGAGTCCGCTCTCCCTCTCCAAATGCTCTCACATGGCCAGCGAATATATAGCCTCTGCCAGGGAAGTCCTACTCACTACCTTCTCATGGCGGGGGTGTTGTTTACGAAAGTGAGAGGACGAAAAGCGAATATCCGGCGCTTTAACCGAGTTGGTGGACACGGATAGTCCACCTAGGGGAGTTGGAAAACCCTGATTCCAAACCAATGGTGCACATGGGCTCCAGTATCCTGAGGGAACAAATGGCGTACGAATCAATTGTTGATCACCGGCTACCATGGGACTGCATCTCCTCACGATGCTCCACTGCCTTGTGGATCAGATCTTTCGGTCAAATGCTCAGGGTGTGGGCCCCTAAGAAAACCACCTGCTTCAGTTAGGGCACCTGGGCAGTATCTCAGCCTTCCCACAAATCAAATGAGATTTGTGAGGCGCATATTCATCTGGTGCTTTTTGTACCAATATTTATGTGTTTAAATAAATAAATAAATAAAAATAACTTTGTTGAATGAACCCAAAATTTTTGTTTATTGCTAATCATCTGTTATACGAGAACAGTATGCTTCAGCAATTTACTCTTGAACTAAACTATCGAAATCTAATGTTTACACGTTTTATGTGAAAGCCCTACAAGTATCTTCTAGTGTTTTAGAGGTAAAGATATAGTAACTAGTAGTTCGAAGTCCGGTTTTACAGTTGTCTATACATGTTTTTGATTCGTTTTTGCTACAATATAACGCTTGGTTGCGGCTTATTCAATTACCTGGATTATTTGTTTTGAATTCTTCAAACATTTTGGATGGAATCGAACCATAGTTGTAGCACTTGTAGTCTTGGGTGTCTTAAAGTTTATCCCAACTCAAAATCACATGAGGTAAATGAAGTCTACTTATCGGTAATTGAAAATTGCATGTATTTCCTACTGCCTATCAATCGTTTATCAGTTTGTCTCTGAAAACGTTTTCTGTTTGCTATTTTTGTCGAATTTTCAGTGTTTCTGTATAATCAGTACTTGGTTGTAAATATGACTCCATTTCTTAAAATAATTATTAGGTGAAACGTGTTGTGTGGGAACCTTATCGAAAACCTGAAGAAGATTTGTCATTGTTGGGACGAATCGATTTAGCTATCCTCAATTGTGTGTCGACTTACTCTGCTGCGGTGAAACGTGAACGGGATGCAAAGAATTTACCCAGTATGTTTTTCGGATTAACTATTGAAAATCAAAGAGGTTTGGAAGTATTGTGCAATTCCACAAGTAAATCTGCCAACTACTGGTGGTCAAAACTGTACAAAAAATGAGTTCTTAGTGTATCATAAATATTTGAGTTTTTTTTTAATTTCTTAGATTGTATTATTCGCTTGTTAACTTCATTATCATTATAAAACTTGCATTTATGTCATAGTACTCGGTGTGATTTCTAGGATTCCTCGTTAATACGTGACGAGGTGAGATTCATAGTGTGGTGTGTTGCTTATACCGACATAAATAAAATATGTCGTGAGTCAGGAGTAGAATATTTGGCAGCATAAGATTGAGAAGACGCAGAAGTGAAGAACAAAAACAGAAAGTAATTGGTATGGAAAAGAAGGAACAGTGAAGTCTGAGACGACTGATTGACAGTTGCAAAGGAACAGTCAAGTTTGATTGATATTTTGCAAATTAAGTATTTACAGTTTGCTTCTCATATTTTACTGAGGTATTCTGTAATTTTGTGTTGAAGTACATTCGATTGTTCCCACTAATGTTCTTATTCATTACAATCGCTTTGCTCGTATGGTTATAAATAAAACATACATTCATGTTTTTGGCATAAAGTTATTACAACATACATAGAACATATAGACCATCAATGTAGGTAGTCTATGTGGTTGGTCTCGGTCTACTCGTGTTGAACGACCTGGATTACATCGAGATCACATCCTGCGGTTAATACTTAGCGTGGCTTATCATCTCGAGATACCGTCTTGAACGGACATGACATTATTAAAGAAGTGTATTAATAAGAATAGTTTGGGGGAATAGTGCAACCACTGCTGCATCGGTCAGTCAATGGTGTGTTGCCGATTAATGCGCGTTGTCTGACCTTAAGATAGCTCACTAAACTGTTCAACATTCAGTTGCTTGCCTGCTGGATGGTTTGACCAGAGCTAAGCTTACAGATCATATGTAGACGGTAAATGCATCAGAGGGGCAGATAGCACGTACGACCACAATTGACACCTTTCGAAACTTGAGACTTAAATCCAGAAGCAGTATCCTAACAGATTTCAAACCAGTGCTAGACGGTCATAAAGCCAGGGGAATATCTTGGTCGGCGATTATTAACGGTTTTGGTTGTCGGCCACAACTGTCATGACTTCGTTCCGTGTTTGTTACAGATAGCGAAGCCAGGGTGCACTCTGATCGACATAGTAAAGTGCCATCTACCACACTTGACAAACAAAGACTAGGCCCCAGTGTTACACTTAGCCACCGGTTTCTCCCAGATGTATCTGTGGCAGACGACAGATGATACTAAACTTCTCATGGACGATGTCTCAGGAAGAATTATCACTGGTTTCTTACAGTTCAGGGAAATAGAGGACGTCGCCAAGAACCACATTCTGGCATGCACCAATCGCAACGTCGACTTTGAGAGGACCATACCCATGAAAATCTCTATTCACTTATTAACCAGAACACAACACTGGCAAGTTTATCGACCCATTGAAGCAATTTCTTAGTCTGTCACAACAGAATTTACAACTAATCCTGGGACAGATTTGTACACCATGTTCAAGGACCTCTGTCTTCTCTTGCTTGTGACCTCTCAAAGAGTTCGACAATATGTTGAAATCGAGTATCATAGAAGCCTCCAGCAACCATTCTACCCCTCCACTGCATATAGTCCGATGTTTGATATTGTGCTGAATTAAACGCCCTCATTAGTTGTATCACTCCAGACAAGTACTATTTACTGCATTTGCAAGGCTTTGCCAATACTTCGCAAAAAGTAGCCATTTCATAAGAGTATATTGCCATCTACCGATTCAATCTAATGTCTCAATGGCAAAAATAAAGACGGACAAACTAGGTTTCTTTGCCTTGACACCCTATCGATCAATCCTTTAGTGGTTTACATCTTGTGGACGGTCGTTCGAAATCGTGTGGTTTTTAATAGTAGTCAGACAACGAAAAAGTCCACATTCAAATTGGCATTCAAGGTTTTCAGAGATATTTGAAGGTCAGACGAAGTTTCCTACTCTTCGTTTGACGCGGGCATGGACCGCTGTTTCTACAGTAGTGTTCTTGGTGGGTATTGCTTTTGGCCATATTGTGAAACGGTCTACAAAGGTTAGAACGTGAAAGTGTTCTGGCAAAGGTCCTACCAAATGGAGTATAACACGGTTAGAAGGAGCGTCAGGATTTGTGAATGAGCCTAAGGAACATTTTTTTGTGTCTAATTATCTTGAATTTCTGGCAGTTTACACAGGAGCCTGCCCACTCCCTCACGTCATTAATCATACCAGCCCAGCTAAATCGTTCTGCTATGAACTTGATAGTTGTATGACCACCTGGATGAGAACGTTTTCGTGACGTATTTAAGATTTTGTGTTGATAATGTTTCAGCACTACTGAACGATTCCTACCTGCATATGTGTTGCATAATAAGCTTTCTTACATCCTCCCTCCTGATTAATATGCAATTTTGGGGTTGCTAGATTAGTGTCTTCTTTGTGAAGCTGGTAGAGCCAAACGATATCTATTCTTTGGAAACTGTCCGAGGAAGTTATACGAGACACGGAGTCTACCACTTCATTGTTTACCCCAGGAATGTGTTGCATATCTAAAGTAAACCATGAAATGTCTAATTGTCGAGACCGTCTAGGGGGATATTTGTTTGGAGATGAGCTTAGACAAAATGTGAGAGGTTTGTGATCGGTGAAAAGAGTGAATTCTCGGCCTTCACTAGAGTGTTGAAAGTGCAGCACAGTACATGTCTAGAAGCTCCCTGACGAAAGTTCCCAACCTTGATTCAGTGTCTTTTAACCACCTCGGGAATAATACCAAAGGTTATCAGGTGTCGTCTACATATTGTTGTAAGACTCCTGTGATTGCAGAGTCGGACGCATGTACTGATATTCTAATGATTGCTTCGGTGTCCTGGTGTTACAGCCAGGTTGCTTTGACGATCAGTTCTTTAATAGTGATGAGTGTTTTTCTCGCGTCGTCATCCGAATAGATGAGTTTCACAATGTTGGTCTGTCAAGGGTTAAATGAGGGACGTTCAATGCTTTATGAATCGTCGATAAAAATTTACCGGACCGTTGAACGTGCATGATCTCTTAACTGTTGTCAGTTCTGGGTAATCCAGAATGTACACCACTTCATTCACAGAGGGTGGATGAACTGGCGATCAGTGGTGTGTCCGAAAAATCCAAAAAGTCGTTTTCAACACGACATTTCCATGTTTTTGAAGATATTTTTGTATTACCTTTCACTAACTTTCGTCCTCTTCAGTCTGTGATTTTTTTTACGTCGCGATAGCTCTAAACCAACATCTGCAACAACGAAAATCCGCAAAATGGTTTCAGAAAACTTGCAACATCTTAGGTTGATAAGTTCAGAGTTGTCTCAAACAACTGAGTACATGTCAAAACAATGGGGCTCAAGTATTCGTCACTATTTTATCTCGTATAGGTATTATATTTCCTATTATATATTCAATTATATTGAATGTTGAAAGGTTTCGCATGTTCGAACAAGTAACCTCCTGGTATACTGTGACTGTCCCACGTTCAAAATAAAGACATATTCACTACCAGTCCGATTTCTTCTATCAAAAGAACGGGGTTTACCTTTACGCACGAAAAACTCACGTCACAGCAAGACTACGTTCACCATATGTGGCGATCACTTTTCCGTTTTCCAGCTGTAAATTTGAGACCAAATCCTGGAGATGGTCAGTGGTATTTTTCAAATCAACGTATGACTGTGCTTCGGTGTTGGCGAGTTGATGAACTTTCGTCATCGCTTCAGTGTTGTATAGCGGACGTCAATTCCCACAGGCCACGGTTTCTACCAACGAGTGTCAGCGGGAAATATTTTTGAAAGGTTAGTCTTGACAAAGAGTCTGTTGTTTGTGAAGCCGCAGGCTTAACAACTTGGAGAAGTTCGGAAAAGTGGTGTGGGCGGGTACACTTTATCATATAAACCATAACTACGGAGGAAATAGTTTTTCAATTCTTATGCGAATAAAAATTATGGTGAATTCGCAATTAAAAAGACATAATAATCAATAACTTTAAATGAAAAGGGAGATAACTGGTTATTGCTGCATAACACACACACCTGTAGAAAGTGGTTAACATATTCAAGCAAAAACACAAGAAGTCGCTATTATACCATTTATTAATAAATGATAGGTCTTGATGAACAAATGATGGCTGCCTAATAATCCGAAGAAGAAAAAGTTTGACCTTTAAGGAATCCAGTCATATGAACGAGGTCAAAACCTAGATATTTTCGCTGACAGTAAGTTTCGTTTATTTCTGGGCTCTTCTTGACACTAAACATCTTGAAGTTCTCAATGTTTTCAAGCCCAAAATTTGAGTTCATTCTAATGAAAGTGACCGTTTGAAATGTGGAACGAAACATGTTTCGAGGTTGAAGAATTGAGCGAACTGGGCTCAGATTCACTAGATCAAAATGTCAATATATCATATGGAATAAAAAGCAGACGTCAACAGAATACTGAGTGGTATAGTCGAAAGTGAACCACAAAACACCATCGGAGTAATCATCTAATTAGCTTCTATAGAATTTATCACTAAAGGTGGAATTTCAGGTTCTACTCTACTTGTCATATTGAGTCTGTGACTTCCGAACCACTTTCATAAATTACTTGAACAAAGCCTTTCTGTAAATAGCACAAAGGGACAATGAGTATGGTTAAACAGCGCTTCATTATTTATCTGTAAAAAGTAAGTTTGTTCTAGGTGCACTCTCCAGTATCAAGCGACTTTTCATGTAAATGACCTATCAAATGTAGCAAAGTAATCTATTCTACACTTTGCATATGATATCAAGATTTGGGAACCCACACAAAGTATATCAGATAGAATAATATTACCTGAGAAATAAGTTCATGGTTTATTGAATGTATGAGTGTCATTATAAGCCAATTTCGATATGAGTGTAGTGATGCAATGAAATAACCGGGACCACTAATATCATTACGTAATAAGTGAATTTTTGTTATCTGATGTAACAGGCCACAAAGATCTAAGAGTCATGAAAAGCAACTACTTTAGAGCAGTTAATAACCATGAGGCTGCCTCTACCGGAGGTTTCAGGGCCTTATGGGTTATTTGTAAGTTACTTGTTTACTTAGACGAAAAATTATTTAAGGTAATAAACCCAACGTTGTGATTCAAGGAGAAAGCCCAAGTTTCATGTATGAAACGGATATGCTACAGTGAGCTAATCGGTGAGGTAAAAAATGGTGATGAGTTTCTCCAGTTTACCTTATAAAGACAGACTGAGACGCCTGAACTTATTTCAGTCTAACCATGGTCGGTTACGGGCAATTTAGTACTGGGTCAGCGCATACAGAAAGATGGTTTTGGTATTGACATGTCTCACTTTTCCATTTATACAAGACTGACCATCTGAGATCATATTCTAAGAAAAGTCCAAATGTGATATGAAATTTTTTACGTTTGGAGTTCCGTTTCTTTCATGAGGTAGTGAATTACTGGAACTTTCTGCCAAAACAAGTATTATAGACACCTTCCGTCGACAAGTTTAAAGTGGGATTGGATCTTCATAATGCTATGTATTGAAAATACTAATATCGGCCGATTGACCTCTTATCTTCACTACTGAAGACTTTGATGACAAATTTTGATGCATAAATTAATGAGCCTGATTTAAGTAAATGGTTCATGGCGCTAAAATTTAGAATCACTTCACAGTGATTCTTATCTTTATGTACTATAGGAGCATGATGGCAGACATACTTTCAGAGATCTTCGATATATTTTGTATGCCACTGTTACGCAAACTTAAATCTAATTTTGAATTTTCTTAAGGTCGTGCTACGTGTAACGACCTTGAGAATGAGGTACGCTCTCCTAGCGTCAGCAAGTTTGATTGTTTCATCCATCGTCGTAACCAATACTTATTACCGCAAAAAGCAGTTTTACCCCACTGTCGTATACCTGACTAATAATCAGCCATCCCTTTCTGTAAGCTTTTTAAAATATCTAAAACCTTCATCAGATACTCCTTTTTCAATGTGTCGTCATACTCTTCTTGGTTGTAAAAGCACTCACATATGCTTTCTTCGGTCGGCTCCAAAGAGCAGAAGTTGATGTAAGTTTTATTAGTGACTTGTCACGCGTCTTTAGAATCTTGTTTCACAGTCATGGTATGCTTTCTTCGACATGTGCTTGGTTTTTGCATTCTTCCAGAATGAATTGGGAGTCGAATTTCTTTTCTTGTTCGCTATACTTTTATTTGTCAGAGCCTTTCACTGGCTGATTGAAGAAAGGGTCGATTATGTAAAGTCTATTAGTAATTCTTACCGGTTTTTAGATGGAAAGATCACCTGTCATTAGTGTTCTGTTTCACCTTCGAACAATGAGTAAATTTACATTTTAACAATTGATTTTTCAGTGCTTATTACTCTTCTAACCCTTGTGGATGTATATTTCATCAAAACAGCCTACTGGAAGCCCGCTACACACGGAATATCCGTACATTTGGCTTTGGGGATAGAGGTTTGAGTGTTATTAACTTTGTTCGTACTTTACATTTGTGTTTTATTGTAAACTTTGGCCGAATAGTTGAGCAGGTTTTGCGTGTACTAGGTTCAGTGTCACCCTGGTTATGCACCAATGTTTATCTGATATATCAAATAGATGAATTGTGAGATTTATTTACGTGCTACGTTACCGTCTACTGCAACCTACGTTAGTTAGTAGGATAGGTATAAAATATAAGGAGCATAGGTGTTGTCAAAATACATTCCAAGCCTTCTATAAATTTACGAGTTGTGAAAAAAATTATTCTTTTTGGTGTGATCTATAAAAATTGTGACTGACAGTTGAGAGCTTAAAATTGATCATTGTTATAGTTGCATTTACTTGATATTATAAATTGTTATACACTTATAGTCCTACATATTCGTTGATTTCAGGGTTTTAATCTTGTTGATTATCTAAACATTTTTGAACAGTTTAGCAACTATTGCAAATTTTCGAATGGAATCAATATATTCCATCTAAAGTATTATTTTAGTGGTACGTCCCAACAGAATATTTCTCTTGAGTGTATAAGGGCTTAGTAATGGTCGATCGCTTCTCAAAGAAGATTTAAATGAAGACAATATAGCTGTTTTTTATAATATACAAGCTAACTACTTTACTAAATGTTTATGTAGAAGTCTAGAGATAGTGTCCCAGTACTCAAATCTTAGATTAAACGATTTGGTAGCGGAAATAGACGTCAGCAGACAACTGTTCAGACCTTTTAAAGAAACCGCTGTTAGGAACCCAACTGTCAGCAAAACTATCTCGGAAAAATGTGGGCATATTATTCATTCTCAATCCAGGCGATTGGGTCGATGAGCAGAACATTTAAGGGACCAGTTCGACTTGCCTTCAGCCACACTTCGGTTTCCCACGATCCCTAGTCGACCTGAATGGCAAGTTAATGTAAGTCCACCCACTCTTTGCGGGGTTGGAAAAGCTATGGGAAATCTGAAGCGAGGGAGAGCAGTAGGCCCTGACAGTTTTACCCCTGATATTTTTAAGGATATTGGTTCAGTGCGAGCAGCGAGATTGACTGAGGTCTTAGGTAGACGTAATTCCATCTGACTGGTCCCAATCACTGATTGTGCCAGTCTGTGAGAAAGGACAGAAGTCTTCTTGTGACAATCACAGAAGAATCAGTTTGACTAATATAGTGTCTAAAATATTAGCTTCAATAATACTTAGGCGCCTAACCAAAGCTCGTGAAGAGCAGACTAGGAAAAACCAGGCTGGTTTTCGACCTGGACGTGGTTGCATAGACCAGATATTCACCCTACGTCAGGTTCTAGAACATAGACACAAATTCAGACGTCCCACAATCGTAGTATTTCTTGACCTTAAGGCGGCATTTGACTCCGTTGATCGTCAGGTTCTATGACAGTGTTTGTTACTGAAAGGAGTACCAAAGAAGTACATTAACCCTGTACAGACTCTCTACTCGAAAACAACTGGTCGAGTTAGAGCTTATGGTGAACTGTCATCAGAACTGATTACCTCAAGTGGCGTTCGTCAGGGCTGTCCACCCTCCCCATTCTTGTTTAACTTTGTCATTGACATACTTTTAGAGATAGCAGTTTCATCAGCTAAACCTCCAGGAGTTGAACTTTTACCGGGAGACTCACTTGTTGACTTAAAATACATCGACGACATAGTTTTACTTGGTGAGGACGCTGGCAACATGCAGTCTTCTGACCACTATAAGCAACTATGCAGGCATGTTCGGTATGCGATTCTCTCCCTGGAAGTGCAAAATGTTACTTCAGCATTGGGTTGCAGCGACACCTGAACTAATGATAGGGAGTGAAGTAGTTGAGCGTGTAGACCACTTCACTTATCTTGGGAGTCTCATCAGCCCTTGTGGTCTGGTATGTGACGAAATCTCAGCACGGATACAGAAGGCTCGTCTAGCTTTCGCCAACTTGCGTCATTTATGGCGTAGGCGAGATATCCGTCTAGCAACCAAAGGACGGGTTTACTGTGCAGCAGTTCGTTCCGTCCTACTTTATGGCAGTGAAACATGGCCGATAAGAGTAGAGGATATTCGTAGGCTTCTAGTATTCGATCATAGGTGTCTTCGACGCATTGCTCGTATATCCTGGGACCACCGGGTAAGTAATGCAGATGTTAGGAAACGGGTACTAGGTAAGGATGGCAAATCGATTGATGAAGTTGTAAAACTGGATCAGTTGAGATGTCTAGAACATGCGTTACATGTGCCCAACCACCGACTGCCTCGACATGCGAAGTTTTATGGTGTAGGAGTAGGTTGAAAGAAAGCTAGGGGCGGCCAGACAAAAACGTGGCATAAATCCATGAAGTCGCTGACAAGTGGACTGGGCCATGCTGGTAGGTGTAGACTACCTGGTTGGGATCCGCGAGATGATAGCAATCGATGGTTAGAGACCTTGGATGAGATGGCTCAAAATCGTTTGCAATGGCGAAGGCGCATCTAATCTTTGTGTTCTCCCAAATTCTAATCTGGATTCTTCATGCCCCTTTCTTTTTTCTCTTTCCAAATTTATTTCACTGGATTATACTCCTTGAATACCATCTTCAAACCCTAATCTTTCGGATTACTGCTTATACTCTTACTACTTCTAGCATTATGGGATTTGAATCGACGACTGCATCTCTGTGCTAATGTGGTATGGCAACTCGAACGGATGTACGTGAGTACGAAGTTCTACGTTGTGACTGACTGGCTGACTGACTTAGACGATTTTGGAGAACCAGCTGTACATAGACTAGTTAGACCATCGAACCGTTTGGAACTAGATGAATTGGCAAAATCTTCAAACTGTGAATTACCAACTCACTTGGGGCACTATGTAATTTGTCAGTTTTGTATTGGTAAAAGACTTATGGAATACGTATCAACCTAATTGTGCCTGCAAGCTGTCGTCTTTTTCAGAATATTTTATTAATATTTTCAACAATGGGTAGTTCTAGGTTTTTCGAAGTTATTTTCTCGTAATTTATGACATCATTGTTCATTCAAGGTTAGATAATTCATCAAAATTTCCATACTGTCGACTGCGTTTGGACTGTGGTACAGTGTTGATATTGGCTGGAGCTATCTGAGGGTTGATGATCGCTGATTAGGAATCTTGTATCAGATAAATAATGGTTAATCACAGTTTTGGATGTTCGCTTTTCACCTTTTAAAAATCCCAAACATTTTGTTACTCTTATATTAACTTCATATTCACTTAAGCTATTCCATTTTTTCACAAACTAAATGACAAATTAGTGCAGCATTAAGTTAGATTTTGTCAATTAGTTCAAGCTTATTTCGACAATACTAATGTTGCAAACCTTGGAGACGTCTGAAATATTTTTTACGAAGTTTTCTTTCTTCCCTACAACCATTATATCCAACGTAGTGCTGCGTTTTTCATATTCGTAAGTTCGACGTAAATTGATTGCACTATTGTCTTCACTCATTATGTTTGCTGACGACTTAGTACAGTTGTCATTACAGGCAAGCAATAAGGATGTATTAAATGAATAAATCCATTTTCTATCATTGTAATCTAAATGTTCTTATGTACTTCATGCAAGTGGCTTGTTTAAATAGGTTTAATTCAATACTGGATTATTTGTTTTTAAATATTTTCAGTATTTCATCTTAATATTGAGTCTTCTATCGACTACTGTACGTTATATTTTACATTCGATTGACTCTATGCGAGAACATTCCTGGAATAAGAAAGCTACATATCTCTTATATGTGGATATTCTCATTGGATTTATTCGTTTGGCTGTGTATGTTGAGTTTACGTTCATCATGTGGTCACTGCACCCATTTCCTTTGTTTATCGCGCGACCTATCTATCTTAGTATCAGATCACTAAAAAAGGCGATTCGAGTAAGTTTTTGACAGTAACGATTTCACGGTATTCGTGATATTGGTTATACATTCTTGCGTGTGTGACTAGCACAATCTCATATGAATTGTCTTTACGTTCTGGTCAGTTTCACTTCGTGATTGGAAACCTGTACTTTCTGTCTCCGAACACCGTCTGCTTCGTAACCTTCAACAAAGATCTTGGATATTTTGTTTCCTTCGTTAGATTTATCAGTTTACAAGCAAAATACCATTTACAATGTATTAAGGCATAAATGTTAAAAAATAAACTAAACATTGAGATCCATACCCTCAGTGTGTTATTGCGACTTTGAAAACAATCGTACATAAATATTACAGAGATATCATCATAATTTGTTCAAAATCCGTTTGCCGACTCTAAAATAATACTTTCATTAGACTTTTGGAACTTCGAATAATATTACTTACCCAATATTAATAACGCAGTTTAACCAAAAGTTGCAGTCCAGACACCAAAAACATGAAGTTTTTATTTCACTTTTAAATAAAAAGTAGGATATTTAGTATAGTAATAGAAATTATTGGATTCATCAGTCAAACATATCTCTACTATCAAGGCGACACTTGGAGTTGGTGATAAATAACCCGACCGTAGCTGCTACATTAAAATGTCAGTCGGACTTGCATATAGTGGGCTCAACTAAGCTATATTGGCTGGAACGCGTGTTTCTTTAGGTCCTACTGTGACAGGCAGGTCGGTTGGAAAATTATATGACTAAAGGCAGAAACTTAAGGTCCGAGGGTGAAGTTGTACTGTTGACTGTAAATGGGTGTGACAGCAGTAAGGTGTTTCCTTCGGACAACCAGTATTTGCAGCGATGCTGCCTTCTCATTACGGAAGGAATAGGTAAACTCTAGAAATGTCACATCTCATTTTACCCCTTGGACTTCATTTTCTAGCAATGAGGCATTTTTAACTGGAGACCTAACACCAAACGTTTTCCGTAAAAAGGCTGTGCGCGAGCAGCCTCGAGCAGTTGTCCCTTGAGCTATGCGGTCACGCTCTCAGGTCGCTAAGACCACCACTGATTCAACTTTTCTCAGTCCCCTCAAGAAGAAATATTCTTCCACGGTGTGGGCAACCAGGAAATGAAAATTACCCTCATATCTTTATCAGCACCCGAGATCATCTTGTTGACGATCGAATCCCTTCCTCACCTGTTAATGCTTCCAACCTCATGGCTAACCCTTCTGAGTTGTCTTCATCACTATGCACCACCAATGGGCTGTTGTCTGGTTAACTCTGGACATGGATTCAGAAGGCTCGATTGGCCTTCGCCAACGTGTGTTACTGGTGGCAAAGGTAAGATATTCGTCTTCCAACCAAAGGGCGAGTTTGCTTTGCAGTAGTTCGCTGAAGCATGGCAATTAAAAGTAGAGGATATTAGTAGGTTACTAGTATTCGATCATACGTTTTTTCAAAGCATTGCTTGTTTATTTTGTGACCACGGAGTTAGCAATGTCGGGGTTAGAAATAGAGTACTAGGTAAAGATGGGAAACCGATTGATGAAGTGGTAAATATTCATCAACGGAGGTGATTGTGACATGTGTTACGTATGCCGAACCACCACCTACATCGATGGTCGACGTTGTGTGGTGTATGAGTGGGCTGGAAGAAATCTAGGGGTGGTTGAACCAAAATATACCACCAGTCTATGAAGTCATTAACAATTGAACTGAACCATTTTAATAGGTACAGACTATCTAGTTGGGGTCCTCGTGATTATCTTACCCAATGGTTAGAGACTTTAAGTGAAATGCTTCAAAATTATTTGCGATGGAATAGGTGCATCCGTTCTTTGTTTTCCCTTAAATTCTGAGATTTTATTTATTTTACTTATTTAAAAACATAAACATTAGTACAAAAAGGCATCAAATATATGCGCCAAACTCCATCATGCGATTTGTGTGAGGACTGGAGTGCTTCCTGGGCGCCCGAATCGGAGCAGGTGGTTTCCTTAAGGGGCCCTTCCTCGAACCTTTGACCTAGAGCTCAGTCCACAAGTCAGTGGAGCAACGTTAGGAGATGCAGTCCCATGGCAGCCGGTGACCAAAAGTAGGTTCATACACCTTTCGTTCTGAAGCCCATGTGCTCCATTGTTTTGGAATCAGGGTTTTCCAGCCCCTCTGAGTGGATCCTCCATATCCACCAACCTGGTTAAGGAACCGAACAATCGCTTTTTGTCCTCTACATTTCGTAAGCAACACCGCCGCCGCAACAAGTCAGTGAGTAGGACTTCCTTGACAGTGGCTGTATGCTCATGGACACGTAAGTGTATTTCGAGTGTGTGTGTGTGTGGGGGGGGCGGACTCTCCCCACTCCCAGTCGTACCAGGGCATTTGGCAACTGCCTTTAAAAGAGAGCGATCGAAGCAAGACAGCATTTGCTGTACGCGACAAGCATTATCAATCTAGACGAATGCCGTTTGAGTTGGCGGGTGCACCGTTTACGTTCAGAAGAATAATGTCGCTGCTGCATTGGGATCTAGATAATGTCAAAGTGTGTGGCGACGATGTAGTTGTGTATAGTCAGACAGAAACAGATTACGTCAAGCATATGGAAGCGGTCTCAAAAAGAATTGAAGATTTCTGACTTCGAATTAATAAGGACAAGTCACAGATGACGAAAAGTAGCATCACATTGTTGGGGCTTAAGGTAGGAAATGGAGGAATAAAACCACTGCCAGAGAAAATTCTTACCATAACAAACATTGCATTACCTAATTGGAAAAAGAAATTGAGACACTTTCTGGGAAGGACGGCGTTGTAAAGTCGGTTCGTCAAGAACTTCAACAAAATAGCAGCACCCCTATATAAGTTGTTGAGCAACACTAAGTTTACGTGGACTGAGACCGCCCAACAAACGTTCAATCGAGTCAAAAACATGCTAGCCGACCGCAAGATGACGCTCAGACTGCCTGAAATCGAGGAACTGTTTACAGTGGCCACAGACGCATGTGATCATGGTATCGGTGCCGTTTTGAGTCAGTCTGATAGGGTGGTGGAATACGCGAGTCGAATTCCCACACCCGCTGAACAGAAGTATTCAACGATCAAAAAGGAGTGTTTGGCAATTGTATGGGCAGTATACAAGTGGAGACCATACCTTTTAGGTAGACGATTTCACATCAAGACTGACCACAAACCCCTGCAGTGGCTAAAAAAAGCAAGAGATCCCCACGGGAAGTTGGCGCGATGTATGATACGTGTACACGAGTATGTCTTCAGTATCGGCCATGTTCCGAGAAATGAAAAAGGTATTGGCGGACCACCAATCAAGACCAGAACTGGAAGCCGAGCTTCCATTGACAGCATACGCACTGAATAACAGAAATGGAGACCCACTATAACTTGTCCGGATGCAGAAAGCTGACCTTAAACTTCGAGAGATAATCAGAGTGATAAAAGAAGGAGCAGACGTTGAGAAACGAGCAATGGACAAGGAGGTAATAATGTTGCTTCGGCAAAAGGAAAGACTGAGAGTGAACACATATTGAGCCCTGGTCTGGCAGGACTATGACGAAAATTGAGTGGCTGTGATCCCGAAAGACTGGTGAAGTAAGATGATACATGAGTGTCACCGGGTAGAGCATACCCGTATCGCAAGAACGATGGATTTACTACGGCAAAGTGCATACTGGTCAGGTATGAGAGATAATGTGGCCCAATATGTGTTAAATTGCCAGCAGTACCAAGTAATGAAGAGCGATCGATGCATACAACCGCCATTGCAAACAGTCCCAGTAACCTCAGTTGGTAATCTATGGTCGGTGGATCTGATGGAACCGTTTCCACAGACGGCTAGCGGCAACCAATACCTGCTAGTACTGATGGAACATGCTACACGGTAGGTAGATGCCGTACCCATTGCAGACCAGCGGGCAAAAGCAGTGACCGAAGTAATAATTCGGCATGTTGTAGCGTGTCACGGAATACGGAAGATGATATTAACCGACCAGGGTCCGTGTTTTGAAAGTGACGAGTTTGAATCCCGTCTAAAGCAGTTTGGCATCAAGAGAATGCGAACTTAACTGTATCACCCTCAAATGAATGAGCTTACAGAAAGAAACAACCGGACGTTAATGGAATGCTTAGCATCTAAAGGAGGGAATTGGGAGAAAGAGTTACCATTGTTTTTGCTAGCGTATTGTGCCTCCATACCGGGAACAACAAAGAAATCACCTTTCCTACTTATGTATGGTAGACAGCCACGCCTTCGAATGCATAATAAGACCTGGCCACAAAAACAGATGTGGACGACAACAAGATTAAGAAAAGATAGGAGAGAGGCAATAAGGAAGGTGGAAAAGAAACAAATATCAGACACAAAGAAGGCTGAACAGCAGAGGAGAACGTGGAAACCTTTTTCAGTGGGGGACCTGATAAAGTATAGAGAACGGGAAGGTAGCATATCAGGGAGACCAGGGTCAGGAAAGTTGATGTCGAAGTGCGAAACATCGTACATTGTCATGGAGAGACGTGGCTCAGGATAATGGGAACAAAACTGAAAATTCTTTCTTTAAAGTTTGTTTGTTGTAAAATATTTTCTTCACTCAAGATACTTCTTACCGATTATCTCAGTGTATTCTTGAGCATTTAACAATCCTGGGCGTAAGCTTTTATTTACAAACTAGGTACTAGTCAGATACGTTCCAATTTTCATAATCATTTTCTGTTATGACAATTGTAACAGTGGTTCATCAAAACTAGTGTGTTCGTAATGATTGTCGAATTACAGGTTCAGCCGTATTCTTCCTTATGAAAATTATTCACTAAGAAAGGATTTCGTCTGACGTTTACCTAACAGTAAATATGGTGCTCATTCGTTGTATGACACCGTTTGTGTAAATAGTCCACATTTAAGAGATTTTTTCAGAACATAAGATTTTGCATTCATTTAAATTATCATCTATCATTGGTTTTATGTGTGATTACTGTACTCATAATATAACTTGGGATACTTTGATTTTTCCATTATGTAAAGGATATGTTGATGTCACGTCGTGCGATTCGATACATGAACACAGTTTTCCGTGATGCCACTCCAGATGATTTGGCTTCCTCCTCAGATACTGTTTGCATAATCTGTCGTGAAGAAATGAATCTTCAAACAGATAATATACCATCGGTTGGGACTTCAGCTCTCAAAAGGTTACCTTGTTCTCACATTTTCCATTTTGGTTGTTTACGTTCATGGTTCCAACGTCAACAGACTTGTCCAACCTGTCGAATGGATGTCATTCGAGAAGCTAGAGTTCAAGAAAGACAGCGACAGCAACCTCATCATTCAGTAAACACCAATAATGCACAACCAGATAGCTCAACAACTTCTGGTCCATCTAATCCAACTGCAACACCGTCTGTTGCTGCTAATAATCAAAACTTCCCAATGCCATGGATGGTAAGTTTCAGCAGTTGACCTTCAGATTTGTGGTGACAAGTCACCCATTCTTCGCGAACAATTCCAACTAAAAAAACTAATAGTAATAATAATAGTATAGAAACAATAAAATGCTTAAGGATAATTCATTTTACTTATAGTGGACCAATAACTTGATAGGTTTATGATTTGAATTGGGTCTGTCAGGCCACAGGTTCAAATGCTACTGGATTTGGTTTGTGCAGACTTATAGTACTTTTAATGTTTGCACGCAATGTGACTCAAAGTGGAGCACAAAAGTTTTTGTTTAGCTACTCGGTTTCGGTTCCCCTATATTTAGAAATTTTTAGTCTGTTCTTAGCCGCAGAGTTTTGTGCCAATTATTAACTATTTCTTTTCCTATTTATTAACCAGTTAGTATCATGCTGTTCACTAGCGTGTGGTATGAGTCCATGGGAGCCGTGGAAATCCAACAAAATATGTTTCAGTTAGATTTGCTCGACACATGAACTGATAAAAACGAAGTCTATTATTAGGCTGTCCTATTTAAAAGTAACTTTATTGTGTAGTGATTAATTAACCTCTAGGGTCGGTTCACTTAGAGAGGATATTCTGAAATAATATTGTGGAATTTGTGAGAATACTTGGGGCTTTTAATGAAGTGAGACAGAATATAAATAAGCCATTAAAAATGTAGATTCACAAATTTTACCCAACTAGATGGGTTCCTCGAAGGGAAACAAGGCGGTTTAATTTCGATAAATATCTAAGCTTTTATTCTTCAATCAGGGATTAAAAAGACTTTTCCTCAGTATCTTTTGACACCTTTTTTTCATTTACAGAATAGTTAAAATTGGTATTGTCTGGGAATGGTGGCACATAGTTATATTTATCTATTTATACTTTCGTTTTCAACGTAACATTGTTATATCCACGGAAATGCTTAGATGACTTGTGTTTGGTACTGATAACGCCGAATCCAACGACGTCTAGTGAAAGTCTATCGGTTAAGGGTCCTGGGTTCGAATCTCGCAAGTGCGGGATCGTGGGTGCGCACTGCTGAGGAGTCCCATAATAGGACGAAACGGCCGTCCAGTGCTTCCAGGTTTTCGATGGTGGTCTAGCTTCAATTGACTCATGATTTCAACTTTGAAATATACTGAAATCTCCACAAATCCCCTTCTGAAAGCACAAGGATTTATGATATGGATTTATTTGACACCAGAGATACGTGAATACACTATTTTTTATATAATTTATATACATTCAGTTTCATATAATTTTAGCTGTTCAGTATTTAACATCAACTAGTGAATATCTTACGATGTACTTTGCCTTTAACCTGGCCATTTTTTCGGATTATTAATTTGGATATATAATTGTAGAACCTGAAGAGAATTTATCGGAAAGAATATTCTTCGTTCAAATATTAATCTTTTAATATCTTACTGTGTAAACACATTTACAATATCATACAATTATTTCACTGGATTATACTCCTTCAATAACATCTTCAAACCCTAATCTTTCGGATTACTGCTTATAGTCTTACTACTTCTAGCATTACGGGATTTGAATCGACGACTGCATCTCTGTGCTAATGTGGTATGGCAACTCAAAACTGATGTACTTAAGTATGAATTTCTACGTTGTGACTGACTGACTTATAATCAATAGATATAATTAATTGATCAAGTTATATAATCACTTAGGATGTGATTATATGTCACAGGCGACCAGTTGCTCTCCAGTCGATTAAGTAATTGTTTGCGTTATCACATATTGTTACTGTTGTCTAATATTTTGTCTATTTTTTTAAGCCTCCTGCAAATGCATTTCCGTTTTATCCACCGTTTATTCCTCCTACAAATAATTCAACAACTACACAGGCTCAGACTGTCTTTCCGTCTGTGCCTCCTTTATACATACCACCCTTTATGGGCATGCCTATAATATACCCTGGTAAGTTAGGTAGATTGTTTATTACACTGGTTTAACGAAACGTTCTGTTTATAACCACACAATCTGAATGTTTTATATCATTTTAATTTGATGTTGATCTCGTAAGCTCAGTTTTTACTTGATTTTTACATTCACACAATGCTATTTAACGTTAGAACAGCTAAAGTTAATTGTAATGTGTGTAATAAATATTCATCATAGTGCATTCTGCTTGTAATTTTAAACTATCCAACGTTCAAAGGAAATTGTCAATGCAACTTGCACAATCAGTACCCTGTATTTATAATCGACTTTTTTAAAACAAAGTATGATAAAAGTGGCTGGTAAACTTAATCGATAGTATTCGATCTGCACTAAGAAGGACCTGACACACATGATATTGATCGACACCCGGTGAACAATGAATTTTGAAACTCAGCTGTATTTGGTTTTTGAAACAACTTTTATTAGTATTAATAGTTTAATTCACATGAAGACTTATATTACCTGTTTTCAGTTAGATATCTCAATATTCTCTAGAAGCATATTCAATCTTGAGTGTTTGTTATCGACACTGTACATTCTTGGACGATTAATTCGAAACAGTATAGTATATATCCTTTATATTTGTATTTGACCTTTTAAGTAAGAAGGGTGTTATCTGATTGTCTACCTGTTACGTGATTTTGCGAGCTTATTGACTGTTAGAATAGTAAAGTCATGACTGTGATTGATTGTTCTCTGACTTTTAAAAGATTAATTTAGAAAGTCAAGAATGATCATTAATCGTCGTAAACGAAACATCTAGTTTAAATTAATGAACAGGATGTTTTCATTTCGAATGTAACTTAACCTATGAGTACGATGTGTAACTTTATAGGAATCTGTAAACTAGTCTTTTCTCATTTTCCTACCTATCAATTTTCACTAATAATGTAACTATTGTGCCACATTCCACGTAGGTAACTTGTTTTCTAATGGAAATACTCCTATGCCAGAACCTCCCTCTGGACCACCTGAATCAGCTGATGAGGCTCGTCTTCGTGCCAGTGCCGAAGCCCGTTTCACCGCTTTACGCCAAATAAATGTACTGTTGAATGCAGCTGTCCTGCAAATGAATGCTTACCTCAATGCGGCTAGCGCTCCCCCAAGTGAATTAGAACCTATGACTTCTATTAATACTGCCCTCAACACCGACAATGTAGAATCAAATAATGAAGAAAAGGAAGCCCTAATTAATGATGTAAAACCTCAGTAAGCAGTTTTCCAATTCCCCTTAATTATTTCTGTTTATATCAATACTGTATCTCCCAATTACCAAAGCCCATCTAACTTTTGGTCCAAACACGTTTAATATACTGAAGCGATTCTCAAAGCGAATCTGTTTAACTTTTTGTATTGTCTAGTTGAATTAGTTTTTGGACAGGCCTCTAAAATATTTTATTTCTGTTTTATTATAGGCTACAACTAATACAGATATTGTTCACTGAAAATTAGGTCACTGTCTTTCTATTTATGTGTTCTCTATATAAAATTCAGTGTATGTATTATTTGGTGGTTTAGTTTCTCGTTGATCCTTGTGTCTTCTTGCATTTGAATAACTAACAGTGCTGGATATTCAGTTCACCTTAGTGATTTGTTCAGCTTGAAGCATTTCGTTTTGTTAATGGACTTGGAAACTGATGATTTTATCTCACATTAGAAACTTTTGCCAGTTATTCAATACGTCATGTATTTTTTTCGAAAATCTCTAACTATATTCTGGATATTTGTTGATTGGCCATATACTATTTGTTCTTGTTTGACAAGTTATTATGTTGTGAGATGAAAGTACCCATACTGGAGTGGTTGGTCGTGTAACTCCTTTTTTATATAGTCTTCCCACTTCTAGCCGGTAACCCTAATACAAAAAAGATTGTCGGCAGAAACTTTCAAGGATTTAAATGTTTCATAAACCCAATGGATCCTGGGAACAAGGTCGAAAAATCGCATCACGGACTACAATAAAGGACAAACTGGAAGGACTTCTTAATCTCTTCCTCAGTTCTAGTTAATCCTCACAAAAATCCAACTTGTAGTGAGATTTTTTCGGTTTTCCAAAGTAGGTCATTCAAGTTAACAGCCATAACGCTGTTGTGATATGTTTTGTTGTGACCCGGCTACTCTTAGTGCTTAGCATTCTTCAGACACGTTACTTCACTCGACTAGTCCTCAAATCAGAACACGATCGAACAGGAACGTAATTATATCCCAAATAAACAAGATTCAATGGGATTAAGAATCACGATAAGCAAAAGGTTGATATATTTCTAATTTTACGGAAGAAAATTCTAGAGTCTTCTCCAAGTACGAGTATCCACTAGTGCTCTAATTGGCTAAGAAATGGCGAATCACATTTGTCCAACACCATCCTGCACGTAACATGCTTTAATCCAATCTCTATCTCGCTAATAGACTTCTTTGTTTATGCTGTGAAAATATGGCTTATCAAACGTTTGCAAACCAGTAAGGATAGTAGCAAGAATGTAAAGCACAAAACGGATATTTTTGGCGAAGTGTGATACTAATTCAAAATTGTGGAAATTAACATTGTTTTGGGATCCGATCACTCGATAATTAATGATTTAAAAAGGCAACCCATATATATATATATATATATATATATATATATATATATATATAGTGAACAAATCATGACTGATTGCATGTCAGTCAGTCAGTCAGCGACAACGTAGGACCAGGCACATATATGCATCGGTCCAAGTTGCCATACCTCGTTAGCACAACAAGATGAACACCGGATTCATTTGTTTGCGAGAGGGCTGTGATACTGCCCGGGTGTCCAAACCGAAGCAGGTGGTTTTCTTAGGGGACCACACCCCGAGCCTTTGACCTAGAGGTCTAATCCACAAGGCAGTGGAGCATCGTGAGGAGATGCAGTCCTATGGTAGCCGTTGACCAACAACAGGTTCATTCGCCATTCGTTCCATCAGGATACTGGAGCCCATATGCACCATTGGTTTGGAATCAGGGTTTTCCAACTCCCCTAGGTGGACTATCCATGTCCACCAACCCGGTTAAAGCGCCGGACATTCGCTTTTCGTCCTCTCACTTTCGTAAACAACACCCCCGCCACGAGAAGGCAGTGAGTAGGACTTCCCTGGCAGAGGCTATTTATTCGCGTGGCCATGTGAGAGCATTTCGAGAGGGAGAGCGGACTCTCCCCACTCTCGGCCGTACCAGGGCATTTGGGGGCGGATTCATAGAAGTAGTTAATTTAATGGTGATAGTATATAAAAGATAGGTTGTATATAAGGATATAGTATAGGAAGGAGGAACGTTATGAAGCCATTTTAATCTCAAGGTTTAAGGGAACATAAAGAGTGTATACACCTACGCCATTTTGATCGATTCTGAGCCATGTCACCCAGAATCTGCAACCATTGGTTACGATAGTCACACGGACCCCAACCAGGTAGTCTGCATCTACCAACATGGATCAGGCTAGAAGTTAGTGACTTCAAACACTGATGCCATGTTTTGGTTTGGCCGCCCCTAACTCTCTTCCGACCATCCCCTACACTAGTCAACATTGCGCGTCGTGGTAATCGATATTCAGGCATACGTAACACGTGGCCTAACCATCTCAGTCGATGGAGATTCATCACCTCATCAACTGATTTACCATCATTGCCTAATACCTTGCGTCTAACCTCACTATTACTTACCCGGTTATCCCAGCAGATGCGAGCAATATTTCTAAGGCATCTGTGTCAAATACTAGTAACCTACGAGTATCTTCTACTCTTAATGGCCATGTTTCGCAGCCGTAAAGTAGAACAGAACGAACTGCTGCGCAGCATACTCGTCCTTTAATTGATAGACGGATATTTCGTCTTCGCCATAGGTGACGTAAGTTGGCAAAAACCAAACGAGCTTTTTGAATCCGTGCTGAGATTTCATCAGACACCAACCCATCACGGCTGATCAGACTTCCAAGATAAGTGAAGTTGTCGACGCGTTCGACTACTTCACTCCCTATCCTTAGTTCGAGTGTTGACGCAGGCCAGGCCTGGAGTAACAATTTACATTTGGATGGGGAGAAACGCATCCCAAACATCCTGACATTACTACTCAGTTCTAACAGAAGACTGCATTTCGTCAGCGTCTTCACCAAACAGGACTATGTCATCTGCGTATTTTAAGTCGATAAGTGAACCTCCTCTTAGAAGATCAATTTTTGAAAATTCAGTCGATGAGAGTGTTATTTCCAGCAGTAGGTCTATAGTGAAGTTAAACAAAAGTGGGGCTAGTGGACAGCCTTGACGGACACCACTTGAGGTTGTAAAATCATATTACAGTTCGCCATAAGATCTCACTCGACTGATAGTGTTCGAGTAAAGAGCCTTCACAAGGTTTATGTAATTCTCAGGTACACCTTTTAATGACAGACATTGCCACAGAACCTCTCGGTCTACAGAGTCAAATGCTGCTTTTAAGTCAACAAAAACTATCATTATCGGACGCCGATAAGCATGTCTGTGCTCTAAAACTTGACGAATGGTGAATTGATTGCATGTTCATTCCATGGACACGTGATGTAGTGACTGTACCATGAAAATTATGTTCACTTTCCTTATGTGGATCGGATGTTAACGCTAATTTAGAGGAAGAATTTAGTTGTTTGGTGTGGGGATAATCGAATGTATTTGAATATAAAATTACAGAACATCTTAGTAAAATCTGAGAACCATACAGCAAATACTTCATTTGTGAAATGTCAATAAATCGTCTCAAACTTCATTGTTCTTTCGTTTCTATACCATTCATTGTTGTCGTTCTCTTTTCTTTCATCTTCTTGACCTTCTGCCTACACGTATTTCATTTTCTATTGATGACACATACTACTTATATCTGTCGAGATCAGTAGCACACATCACATTAGGAACAGCTGGATAGATACTAGAATTTCTCTAAGTGGACTTCTCTGTTATGGTCATTTTTTTTAGTTTTGTCATCAATGATTTTATCAGAGTAGTGTATGGTTCTGGTGTAAACCTGTTACTCAAAGGAATATTTTGACTTTGCTCATGATAGCAATATCGTCTTACTCTCTAATGATAAGCAAAGTGCTCAAATCTGAATCGATGAGTGGCATTATAATTTGCATTTTCAGAGTTTAACGCCTCCGTAATGTTGGTTGGATCCTCTTATTGAAGTCTAAAAGTGTCAAGAAATTTGTATGTCTGATGCTTGTTTGAGTTCTGGTGGTGTTATGTAATATATATAGTGAAGTTAAGAGCGAATTCTACTAGTCTATGACAACCTTGACTTCTTGCTTTGTTAGTTTTTACATATACGATGGAGTGCACAACACTGCAATGCAAACAGTTTTCGTGTTTTCTGATTCCTACATTCAATGTACCAAAAGTCATATATTTCGTTTAATTGGAACATATTTTATGGAAATTGAACTTTTAATCGTGAGAGTTACCCAATCGCGATGGTTTTTTGGTCATGCTACCTGAGTGGTTACTTACTTTTTTTCTATTGTTAGGTCACGTGAGTTAGTGCAGTTGTTTATTTTCATATTCCGCGGTGAATACATATTAGATAATAAGCTGTCGAAAGTGATTGGTTTCAAGTTAGCCTAATTTTTGTGAACTTTAATGTCAATATCTGATTACTGGACTTTGTTGTACAAAATTATGTGGTTTGTTTATATCGTTGGAGATATCCAGTGATATATTCGTATTTTTAGAGATATTTATTAAATATGACCTTATTTTAGTTTTTTTCGAGTTTCGTGGAAACCCAAGTACATGTGTGTTCCGTAGCACTCATCTTGAGATAATCCCAGTAAACTTGTTTGGTTTTGTTTTGTGACGCATAATATTTATACATATTAGCTCCCGTAATGTTTCCGACTTAATACCAGGTAACTCAGTGGTCATTCACAATGATCATTATGTCGGTTGTTCCTAATATCTGGAGTTGGAAAACTCAGATTCCAAACCAATGGTGCACATGGGCTCCAGTATCCTGAGGGAACAAATGGCGTATGAACCAACCATGGGACTGCATCTTCTCACAATGCTCCACTGCCTTGCGGATCAGACCTTTAGGTCGAAGGCTCCGAATGTGGTCCCTTGAGAAAACCACGTGCTTCGGTCTGGACACTCGGTCAATATCATAGTCCTCACGCAATTAAGTGAAATGGCAATATTTTGTGTGGCACATATATATCTGGTGCCCCCTTATACCAATATTTATGTGTTCAAATAAATAAATATCTGAACCGCAGGTGTCTACCTATCATCTGACTAGTCAGTATACAGGTTATTTTAAAACTATTCCTGTATTTCGACTCGTGATCTGAAGGCTGTTTAGATTCAAAATTAATCTCTTCACATGAAGCAAAGGTTCTGGTTCAAAAAGCGAAATCTCTGAGGTTCGTTTAATGTGTCAATAACAACTGTCAGTGTTAGTCTCTCATTGTAGCCGCCATTTAGTTGGTGATCACATATTTCTGGCTCGCACTATTTTATGATAGCGAATCTTCGTGATCGTTCTTTTTGTATTTCCTTCTATTTCAGGTTAGAGTCCGATGGTAAATGTCCCCTTGCATCTGGTAAGTATACGTCTTATTCTAGTTTTGATTTTTTTTAACGGAACAGACTTGGCATCTTCATATTCAAGCTATTGAAGAACAAATTTGTTCTCATTCCTTTCCATCCCTTAAATGCTTTCGTGATGATTAAATAAGTAGTTGAATTAAAACGATTTACTTGTTTTTCTTACATATGGTGAGTGGAAAATGATATGCTTAGATTCTAAAAAAAATTTCCGGAAAGGTGTTTTACGAAATTATTTTAAAAAACAACAAGAAAGTAAATTCTAAACATGAAGAAATCGAGGGAAATTATTGTTCACTGTATCCTTAAGAATAAGCCTCTAAAAGTGCATTTCATAATCCCGAAATTGAGGTTCTTCGTCTTTTTTAAAAAGTAGTGAAAAACCGTTCGTTGGGAATTACATTTGAGCAAATTCTGGTATGATTTTATAGGCATATTCGTCAAGATTAGAACGAACAGCTTGACAAAAATTATATTTGAAATAATCTCAGCTAACACCTCTAAACTTCTTCAGGGTGAACGTCCAGAAAAGTTAGCTGGACGAAACTTTGGAATTATTTAAATTTCAATCGCTGAGATAATATATGAAATTTTAGTATGGTTTCTGAGAAATATTTATGTTACTAGACAAAATAATTTAGTGGGAATATAAAACCATCTAATAGCTTCACCTGAATAAGCATCAGGAAAAAAACTATACGGTCACACAATCTACTATCTTTTCTTCAAAATGACCAAGGCATGGGATTTAAAAGTAAATGACGAAGACGAGTACAGATATTTATCATCGGTATTGTCCCATCAGAAGCTTGAATCGGAACTATTGGGGTGTAATAAGCCTGGGCCAACTTGAGTAGCTATGATATGTTAGGTTTTTGGGGTAAGTTCTCTAATGTTATGTTGTATGTTGATCGGAGTAATTTTGTAATCGAAAGCATTTTTTTATTGTAACTACTTAATTAAAACCGGCTCTCGAATTCGTCTGAAAAGTAGCGGCTTTTAATTACACTGAACGTGAATTTTTCATTATCTCTTCTAACCTCCATGTATAAGGTTTATGCTGAACGATTTATGTATCTTAAAAGTATCAGGAGAATATGCATCAGTACTTACATGGTGTGTTTCTGTAGATTTCAGTTAGTATTTACCATATGATCGAAGATCGATCACAGAAATTCCTAATTTCCACTATTATATTTAATAATTGAAGTTTCTATCACGTGCATTGAATGACATTGTAGTGCATCATGTCACTGGCGTTACATTAAAACATGATAAAAAAACTGGACCAATATTTCATTCCATTCTTTTTTTTCTCTTAATTTGTATTTTCGTATCTAGAAGATTCGGAATTTACGGAAGTTCGTAAACGTAGACTAGAACTTTTCGGATGCTCATCTGGAGAAATCACTTCAAAGTCTAACTCTGAACCTAATGATGTGCCCAATTGATCTTGTGACGTTTATATATACCTAACTCTGATATTGCTCGGTTTATTCCGAGTTTAGTTTGTGTAAGTTGAATTCTATATGGCCATATATTCTTTCAGAATTCTTGAATAAAACGAATGGCCTTCTATATATTTCAAAATTGAAATTATATTTGATGTAACATTGTTTCGTTATATTCTGTCTTCAAGTAGTCGCAATAGTTCGCCTTTATTACTTGTTATGTTTCGTGGAGTGTGAGATATTTCTCTTCATAATAATTAGCAATATGATTTTGTTCAATGTAAATCTACTTTGTTTTAAATTGCAGGGAGTAGTGCTAATAATAGACAATAGTTTAATGTGCCATTTAAGCAGTGCCAAATTAATGTCTTTGATCCAGTTTTGTCGTATGGCTGTATTTATTTATTGCAATCTTTCAAAAGTGCAAATAATTGTCAGCAAACAATCGATTGGTGATTTGTAATGAAGCCTCTATGCAATTTGCGTTTTAGGAACGGATATCTTATAATGAGTCTGCAGCCTTTGCATATTGAAAATATCACCTATTATGTTTCAGTATCTATTATATTCCGAGTTGAAGATATCATTTGTCAATTTTATCGCTTAGGTGTGGGGGTTTCAAAATGAACAGGTTATATGCTAGTGTAGGTAGTTCCGTCTTAAGAGCTATGCAATAAACATTTTATTCAGGACTATCGGAGGGAAAGTTATAACCAGAGTTAGCGAGTACAATGTTCTCCGAAGCTTTGACTCTAAAATTGCCAAAAACAATCGGACCAGTGCTTACTATTTATTCATAGGCATTTAAAGCATGTGATTTCGAAATTTAACATATATTTTGGGGATCTAGTGTAGCGGAAAATAAATCCCCGAAATAAGCGGTTTTGTAAGTCTTCGATATTTGATACTGACCTTATTAGTTTTAGTGGACACATCTAGATGAAGACGCTCGGTCACGCATCCGCACCAGATCACGAGTGGGTACGCCGTGCTACGCATCTCCTACACTCGTTAGCCAGCTTAGACCAAACGTCTCCCGAAATATCGATAACCTTCCAAATATGTTTCAATCTCTTCACTGCTGACTTGGCTGGGTTGACATACTTTTTGTATGAAGGTATCACGTGTAAATACATCGTCAAACTCCGAATATCTGTGACTTCTTTGCCAGCATTCCTCTTAAGAATCCTAAAATTCAAATATATGCTGATGTTTTACTTGAAATCTGAAAATTTACTCTTTTCAAACTTAAGTAAATGTTTGCTTTTATAGGGAACTATTCCTGGCAGTTAATTGTGAGCCGATTAATTTTTTTTCGCATCCCAGTTCTGTATTGATTTTCTTGTGGCTTTTTAGCTCACAGTTCGTATTCCAGTAAACGTAAGACGAGATCCCATTAATCGTATCCAATGATGTAGCTGAAGGCCCAGCGCAAGCTTTAGATTGAATGGTCTTAACTCTAACGTACCTCCCACCCAATAGTTCTGACCAGTGTTTCTGGCTGCGTATACATGTGGAGTATCGAGGCATTGTTTTGGTTTGTCACCAGCCCGGATAATGCTAAGTGTGAAATGGAGATATTTTAATACTGAAGTAACATGTACTTTACAAGTTATGCCAACTCAAGAACTACTTGTCTTTGATCTGTTTCTGTGTTACTTACCGAGGAAATGAATTCTCAGTGTTCCGTTTACTTGTTGGGACTACATCGACTCTTTTATAAAGTACGATGACTGAACCATAAAATATAAACTCCATTTAATTTCGTATGTTACGCTCAGGCTAACTCCGTCGTGCAACAGTAGTAATGAAAGCCAAATATGAATTGAGTCATACAATCTTCTTCAGACACCTGTTTAGAAGTGCAATATGAAGAAAGGCTTCCTATCCTACTCAGTTTCATCGAACGAGACTCAACAAGAAAAAGTACGCTAACTATATGTAATGAATCGTGTGTCGTTGACCATTCACGTACACATAAAGACGACCGGAGTTGTACGTGGACATCTGATAAGGTCAAATAGGTGTGTGGATAAAGGCACAAGAAATCACAGTAATTAATCCATCTGAAAACTAGGATAGGTGATATGGGCGCAAAATAATATATATTACCATAACCTCAGACTGAAGGGCGTTCGTTTTTAGTATTTATGCTAATGTTAAGTTGCAATCGGCACTCTACACACCTACTTCCATACTTTGAAGTAGACAACCGTTCTTATGAAGCACTAAGTTGAAGTAATGTATACAAATTTGAGTCCTCAATCTGAATGGAGTTGAAAGTTAGATCTGTGTGTCTGTTTCAGACACAGGCTTCATTATCACACCTACGTTTTTAAAGAAAGTATTTGATGAATCAGTTACAGTGTTTTCCTCATGTATATCTTTAAAGGTTTTACTGGTTCTTCACTGAACCATCTCTAGATATTTTGAAATGGCCGAAAGGTTTGTCATTTTGCGACAATGCCTGATAAGAATATGATGCGACTGCTGAGATATTTTCATAACAGAATTTGAGCTTGATTTCTGCTCTACTTTATTCCATTTAGAAGAGCTAGGGAAGGATCTCAGGTGAAAGAATATTTTTCCATAGTAGATGTGAAAAATGGTGTTATTTTCCTGAAGACACTTCTCCAGCTTGTCAATCAATGCACACACCATTGCTGGTCTCATGTTAATCTGACCAGATTGTCTAAGTGGCTTAAGCCTACTGCGTCCATACTCATTAACTGCTAGCACATCCCCTCAATGTCATAGTGGGTAATCACATTAGAAGGCACAATGTATTAAAGGCTCTTCTAGTATCAATTCGAATGGAATAGCTTGTCATTTGTTTGGTTTCTGAGCGAAAATGGCAATATCTGAAATTAGTCGCAATTTTCTTCCCGATAGACCCTATAGTACAAACATACAATGCACTTGAAACAGCCGAATCACCTCACTAGTATAAAATTAACCGGGACAGAGAACCCAGCTGATTTATGAAAATTACTCGGTGATGTTGGTCACGAAACCCGAAACTATGGTCCGGAAGTATAAATAGCTGTTTAGGTGATCTTTCGGTTATTAATGGAAATGTCATAGAGTAGTAGTGTTCTCTTTACTCTGTCCGATTGATAAACAATGACAAGTGAATTACCAGACAATTTGGTTCATGGATCACACATGTTTTATCAATTTTCTAACGACGTAGAGGGTATTAGAAACTATAATACTTTACTGTAGATAGTCACAGCAATTTTCTGACCGAGGAAACTTTGAATCGAAACATCGGACACCCTCCCTACTACTATATTGATAAGTAAAGAATGCAAATTGTGAATGATTAATTCTAAACACTTCATCTCCGGAGAAAACTAAGGAATCTCTCAATATCCTACTCTTAGGTTTTCAATCTATGACATGCCGGGACAATAAAGCATACTGTCGTTGGTTCATTTCTAGGAACATAAGTTAGTCCAATTCCCAAACTATTCGATGTCATATTCAGAATTCACTGGGAAAAGTATTTTCAGTGTTCCGCAACGTTGGGAGGAATATTGCTCCTTTGAAGTGAACTTATCAATAGCAGTCATAAAGCGACTTGGACTAATGAGTAAACTGTACTCAGCAGTTCAGGAGGCCTTAAGTTTACAATCTTTATAGAACGTAGGATAACGGGACATGGTGCTGATGTATCATATTATTCTAAATCCTCTTCATATTGGTAAATCACTGTTTCAATACTAAGTTCTTGGAGTTCACCTTAGATGTCTGTGATAATTTGAATTATAGTATAAACTAGTAATCCCAGAAACAACGCATTTTAATCAAAAAGTATTAGATGAACACAAACGAATGTATTGTATTTAGAATTGAAAATCAATACAAGGGAATCATTGGTTCATATAAACACCACCGTATCACAGCCCAATCACTTCGTCCACTATTAACAAACTTCTTTTTTCTGCAGGTTGGGTTCGAACAAAAAAATAGACCGCTTAGTATCGAAAAGATGATCTTTTGGTACTAAGATATGAATATCCATGGATAAAATTTGCCACTTCATCTAAGTAAAATTTTAAGTTTATTCAGTGAAGCTAATGTTGTATATAGCAAGTCAACAAAATACAAATCGTGGTATTGTTCCCGTCTGGTGTGAAGTTGGACAAAACCGTAACTAACCAACCCTGAATCACTTCTTTTTGAAGGTCAAGAAATCTTGCTTTAGTATCCACAAAAAACGAATGTAATCATACCATAAATATGGCTAGTTTGGATAAGGAAGAAATGGACAGGAGGAATGCCATTTTCGTGGTATGAACTGGTCAATGGGTGTGAGTTGTTCTTGGCCTGAATGATATCTAGCAAACACTTAAATGTGCAGTGATCTGTCCTACAACATAGATATGGTGGGAAGTTAGGAGAAAAAGCTTATTCCTCGTGGGAGCATAAGGCGTCGATCAGGATTTTCAAACCAACTTTGTCCAAAACTATCCTTTTTAGTTGTTTTTAGTTTCAATCGCTATTTTCATGTCTGCTATCGATTCACGACGCAATGTGATCTTAGGTCTTCGTCTTCCTCCTTTCCCTTCGAGATTCCAGAGTAGGGCTCTGTGATGTAGTTTGATGGTTTCCGAAAACTGTGACCCAACCATATCCTGTTTTATCGCTCGCTTTCCTTCTCAGCTGAAAGTACGTATGTTGTCTACTGGTGATCTCTGGTTTATTTCAGTTGTAGCTGTAAATAATTCACCAAAATCAATAGCTCATTAAGTGTTCGACATTGGATGCTGACCACGTTGTTTTAGTGGACTTGTTTAACTGAAGGCTTTCAGTCATGCATCCGTACCAGATCACGTTGCAACACGGAGTGGGACACAGCTCCTACGTTTCATTAGTCATCTTATAGAAAAGGTTCCTCGATATATTGGTAACGTATCAAATATATCTTTACTGCCTCTTCTCATCTGACTTCTGATTTCTATCTGACTGGGAACGATCGAATATAGAAGGTGCTACTGTTAGCTAGTTGTAAAACTAGAACATCCGTTGTATACTCATTGGTGAATCCGACGTGATCTGGTACACCAAGTCAATATACTGTGAGTCCGTTCCATTTTGGAATATTATTATTCATTGTTATTCTTTATTTGAATTTTATATATTGTGATATACTGTTTTTTCGCGAATTTTTTTTCCCGGATATATTTTAATCAGACATTTTTCGTTATCTATATTACTATGACGGACACTCTCCTAAGGTTCCTAAGTTTAAGTCTATTCCCCCTATTTCGATTCAGTTAATGCCATTTTGGCCCGACAATATCGAGTCCTGGTTCTGCTATGCAGAAGCCGATTTTTGCATGCACGGAATCACGGACTCGCGCACACGTTCCCTCGCGGTAATTAAGGGGTTACCGCGCGAGTTTAACAGGTACGTAACACCTAGTATGTTTACTAGTGATGTTCCCGAACCTTACGAAACGCTTAAGCTAACGATTTTAAAACGAGGAGACCTAACCGTCCGACAACGGTTAGACCAACTCTTTAACAATATCGACTTGCAACATGGTTCTGCGACGGACATGTTGCTTAGAATGAGAGAAGTCATCGGCCAACGAAATTTCGATGATGGCCTATTTAGACAACTTTTCTTGTCTAAACTCCCTCAACAGGTGCAGGCAGTGCTTGTTTCATTTCAAAACAATGCCATAGATGAACTAGCTGCATCTGCCGATCGAATCTTGTAAATCACTAGATCTTCTAAGGCCGAGGTTTTTTCCGTCAAGGAAAACCCCCAATTGACCTCGACTGGCATGGCCGAACTATGTCACACGCTACACGATATCTTAGAGTTCGCA